GAATTGTATTTAGCAGCCACAAGGGAGAAAAATAATAAAGTGAAATCATCAATTTTTGCATGTTTTCAGGAAGGAAGCCTTGGATATTTAGAACACCTTTAAGTTTGAAGAAGGTGAAAGCATGAAGTTAAGTAAAATTCTGACTAAATTTGAGGAACATTGCATGCCAAAAAGGAATGAGAGCTTTGAGAGAGACATTTGTTTTACATGCATGAACAAAATTGATGCCACCATAGAACAATATGTCACATGATTAAGGCGAATCAGTAAAACCTGTAACTTTGGTGGACTGGCAGTGTCTGATCAGAGATAGACTCATTTGTGGCATTAAAGACAATGTGCTAAGAGAGAGAGACTGCTCTGTGAAGGAGATTTCATTTTCGGAAAAGATCTCCAGGTATGCAGGGCAGAAGAAACTGTGTCAGCACAAGCCAAAGAGCTGAATTCACCAGAAGGGCTTATCCACATACTAACTACAAAAGAATATAGCCAGAAAAGGTCAAATCAAAAAGTGGAAACACCCGCTATGAAAAGCACTGCTGGTGGGGAGACAGCGTACAGATGGCTATGTGGAAGGTGTGGAGAACAACATGGCCCAAACCAGTGTTTTGCATTTGGGACATTGTGTCATAAATGTTGGGAAAATAATGTCCCCAATGCAGAAAAGTCAAGTGCCTGCAGTTGAAGACAACCTGTTTGAGGAGTTTTGACGTGCTGGGATCAAGCAAACCGGATGAGAGGGCCTGGATACTGCCTATGAAAGTGAATGAAACAATTATTCTACTCAAACTGGATGCAGGAGCTCAGGTTACTATTCTGTTTGAACAAGATTATGAGAGACTGAAAATAAAACCAAAACTGGGACCAACATAAATACGAATAACTGGTTATTCTGGAACAAATATACCAGTGAAGGGGAGATGCATTGCTAACATCAGCTATAAACACACTACACATACAGGCTCCCATTTATGGTAGTGCCAAAGGAAGTGACACCAATTTTAGGCCTGTCTGCCTGTGAAAAACTAAGATGGGTGCTCTCACAAGATCAGACTGAACCTGGCTACGAGGCACTCATTCAGGAATACCATGATCTGTTTTAAGGGTTGGGTTGCTTGAAGGCTGAACATACAATGAAGGGAAACAAGCAGGTCCCTCCCATTATCCATCCTTGTAGAGAGGTGCCATTTACTCCATGATAAACTCAAGGTTGAGCTCACAAGGCTGGAAGCAGTGCAAGTAATACAAAAAATTGAGGAGCCAATGGAATGTCTGAGTTCACCAGTCATTGTAGAGATAGATAATTGCCAGCTACGCTTATGCTTAGACCCTAGAGACCTCAATACGGCTATAAAGAAAGAACATTTCAAACTGCCAACCAGAGAAGTGAGGGGATTTGCTCAATTTGCAAATGCACAATATTTCAGTAAATTGGATGCTCCTCAGGATTTTGGCAGGTAAAATTAACTGAAGAATGGTCAAAACTATGAATATTTAATACCCTATTTGGAAGATACATATTCTTATGCCTACCCTTCAGTATAGCTTCAGCACCAGAAATGTACTACAGAGCCGTATGTATGATCTATGAACATATTAATGGTGTTGACACCTCAATGGATGACATCATCATCTGGAGCACAATTAAAAAGGACCATGGCTGTAGACTCTGGGAAGTCTGGGCTGCAACCATATTACAAGCTTGAAACTAAATAGGGAGAAATGTGTTTTAGGGAGTTATAGAACTGACTTTTGTTGGAGATATTATTTCCAACAAAGGTGTAAAACTTGATAAGAGGAAATGATGGCACATCCCCAGTCAAAGAAAAGTATCTAATAGTTCCTAGGAAAGGTTAATTATCTTGGAAAATTAGTACCTAATCTATCTACAGAATGCAGCGGCTTTGAGGCAACTCCTAGAAAATAAAAAGAAATGGTACTGGGGCGTAGAACAGGAGGAAACATGGGAAGGTTTAAAACAACAACTCATACAAGAGCCAGTGTTGAATTTCTATGCACCAGGCAGGCCTATTATAATTTTACAGAAACTTCAGGATTATTGGCAACCAGTGACATATGTATCCAGGTCACTAGTTGGCCTGTGTTATACAGAAGGTCAGACTATATTATCACGGGGTCCTGGCTGGCCTTAGAATCTATAAAAGAGAGGGGTTGAAGGGATAATGCATGTGTCTATGGAGACAGGGCCTTAAGTGCTGGCATCTGTGGTTGAGGTCTTCAGTGCAATGCTGGGGAATTTAACCACAACTCTGACATTGCAGTTCTGGGGGAAGGTTGGGAGTTTCAAAGGAGCATGTAGGAGTTAGGCACCGAAATTGGAAAGGATTTGCTCACTGAACTAGAGCTGTTCCTCAAATATTTTCAAGAGTTCACAATTCTTTTCAGTCTTGAACTGAGAAAAAAAGGTTGAAATCTTGAAAATATTTGAAAACATGCTTTTTGTTCCTGTCAATCTAACATTTTGTTTCAATAATTTCAAAATGTTTCAGTTTTGAAATTTTTTCTAACCATATCTTCAGTCTAATTAGCTTAAATTTCAAAAGACAAAGTCACTTTGGATCAGAAAACCAGAATTTTTCATTTTGAAAATATCAAAATGAAATATTTTAACAATTTCAAAAGCGCACCCCCAAAACAGTTTTTTTTAAATTGGGAGATTTGTCAACTCCTGTTGTCAGAACCTGTTTCACGAATAGTTTTGTGTTACGTTAACAGCACACACACACACAGACATTAGATTACAAACACAAATCTTATTTCTGGAAGGTTTCAAAGTAACACGACTTTATTTAGTAGTATTCAAAACGATAACATGCAAGAACCAAAAACAGAGAGAGACAAAGCAGGCTGCTCCCTAAGGCATTGACGCACAGCTCACCCCATGTTGCTGGAGGCTGGTTTTCTCCAAACTTATCCTGATCAAATTATTTCTTACAGAGTCCCCTGCCTGCAAGAAGGACCAGGAAACCCTCTACCAATTGAAGTCACTGCCTATAGTTCCAACACAATTTTCAAATACACATTTTGATTTCAATTAAAAAAGGATTTATCAAAATTTCCCATATACATCAAACTTCTTTAAGCTCCCTTGAAACCATACAGTAAACCCTTGCACTGCACTGGAAATCTCACCCAAGGGAATTAGCTGTGTAGGCTCCTTTGGTCCTTATTCCTATTATTAGGGAGGAGTAATGTGGTCATGGGTGCAGCATGGTGGCACCCACTGAGCCAGCATCTAGCCCCAGCTTTTAATGGGCATTAAATACCTAAACACCTTTGAGGACCCAGCCCTGAGTGACAAGGTGAGAGATGCTTTATAAATCAGATCTGGAAAAAAACACTCAAATTATTTTTATGAGAAATTATGATTTTTTCCCCACAAATATTTTTGAGAGCTTCAGTGGAAACACTGAAACTCCCAAAGATTCCAGTTTTCAAATCACACACACACACACACACACACACACAAATTCAGGAAAGAAATGTTTAGTTTCTTGGGAAAATGCTGTGCTTGAAAACAACACTTTTTTTTTTTTACCAAAATCTCTACCCAAATTTGGTCAAGAAGCCATTATAAAATATTTTAGTGTAAATGTTTTGTTCAGCTGTCCTCGAGATCGCTAAAAACACCTTCCCTGGGTTTATATTAGGCAGACAATAAAACTGTCCCTTCTCTCTGATAAATTCTTCCTAAACTAGGGTGAACAGGTGAAGGGTTCATGTTTAGCTATTCCACCTGGAAGCAGGCAGGGCACACCCTGACTGTTTTGTAGAAGCAATGCACACATTGCTCTATCCAAGGACAAGGGCTAGATATGAACCATGAGAACTTGATTGTTGGGACAGCAACTGTGGGAAGCTTTCTTAGCCTGGGCTCAAGGCCTGAGAACCAGGATTGTAGTAGATAAAGGATGGTAAATAAGTATATTAATCAACGTCATACATTCCTTTGTGTATCTTTTTGCGGTAGCAGTGTGTAATGCTTAGGGGGGAGAAATATAATAAAAGGAGAAGGTGGAAGGCGGGGGGGCAGAACAGCCCATCTCAGCTGACCAGCCTGCTTGCTTGCATAAAGCTGTGTTCTGTCTCATCATTGAACCGCCACAACTGGCGCCCAAACGTGGGGCCCTCAGCACTCACCTCGCCCGGCAAGGGTTTCAGACGCGTCACTCATCCGCTTCGTGGATCCCGGTGAGTTTTTCATTGTGGTAAGTATGGGAAGCTCCCTCTCTGCTTTGCAAGTGCAACACCGCAATGAGCTGCAGTATTTGCTGCGTAAGGCTCAGCATGACTGCCCGGCTCGAGCACTTACTCTCCTGCTACAGGAGGTGCGTGCCCAGTGCCCGTGGTACCCTGAAGCCGGAAGCCTTAAGCTAGCAGACTGGGAGCAATTGAGCCAGACATTGCACGAAGAGCCTCGGGCGCCCGTGCAGGCTTTACATGCCTGGCACCTCTGTCGCGACGCGATACTGCGTGTCACCTCGGATAGGCTCTCTCACGAGGCTGGTGATCTCGCCACGCCCGTCGGCTCCTGTAGCCATCCCCGTTGCAGCTCTCCCCCCTTCTACTGATGCAACCCAGTGTGTCGCTTCGGAAAGACCCTCTCCCGTACCCACAGCCACCCCTCTCCCTCCTTTGCCCCCAGTGTCTTCATTACCACCGCCTCCCTTGCCTTCCCCACCGGAGCCAGTGTGTGAGCCAGCCATGCTCCGGGGCCCCCCGGAGGGTCATCTGTATCTGCTCAGAAGCTTTCGCTGGTGCAACAAATGGTTCACGCAGCGAAAGCTCGATCAGATCTTACAGCGGAGGAGCTGGCTGATCTGGTCTCAGTTTGCCCGGTGACCTGGCAGAATGATGACCAGGGCAACCCCGTGGGCACCTGGACCACTTTGCCATACTCGGTGGTTAGAGAGGTAAAGAAAGCAATTTGTGAGTTTGGCCTGACTAGCACCTTTGTGTGTGGTCTCATTGAAGGGATAGGTACTGGGTACTCCCTAATCCCTGAGGATTGGAAAACGCTGCTGCGCATGATGTTATCACCCAGTCAGTATGTTATTTGGATTAGTGAGTATCGGCAGATGGCAGAACGCCAAGCTCAGGTACATAGAGAGCACGGTATCATTTATGAGCATTTGGCAGGGGAGGGCCCGTTTGCTACTATTGAGATGCAGTCTCAACTCCCTCAGGCCGTCTTCCCCATTATTTCCACCTGTGCCCAGCATGCTTTCAAGAAGGTCCCGGATTCAGGCAAGCCTACCAAAAGCTTTGTCAGTATCCGTCAGGGTGCCTCAGAGTCCTTTTTGGATTTTACCAACAGATTGCATGAGGCTATCCTCCGACAGGTGGATAACACTGAGGCAGCTCACGAGCTCCTGTTAAAATTGGCAGTTGAAAATGCAAACGAGGATTGCCGCCGTGCTCTCCAGGCAGCGCAAGCCTCTGGTATTTTAGAGCTCTCAGACATGCTGCGGGCGTGCCAGAACATTGGCACACAAGCCCACAAGGCTGGAGTTCTGGCTGCTGCCCTGAGAAAAACCGGGAAGGAGGGGAAGCGTTGTTACCGCTGTGGTAAGGAGGGTCATTTTTAGCGGGAGTGCCGCTCATCTAAGGCACCAGCCCGACCCTCAAAGAAGTGCCCCAAGTGTGGGAAAGGGCTAATCAGTGTCGTAGCGGGTCGGGAAACCGCGCGATGGGTCCCCCCCGAACCCAGGGCCAAACGGGGGTGTTTCCCACTCAGACAACCGCTCCTCTGCCTTAAAATCCATAGACTCTATGAGGGCGGCGACTGCTGGAAGTGCAGGGCTTGATTTGATCATGCAGGAGGACACTGACTTTCGGCTGCCAGGGGAGGTCTGTGCCATACCTACACAGGTGACGGGACCTCTCTCTGCCGGCTTTGTAGGTCTTGTTCTCCCTCGCTCACATGCTGGGAAACAGGGCTTTTTTGTCATTCCAGGGGTCATTGATGCTGATTACACTGGCATTATTAAGGTTCAGGTGTGGACTCATCTTCCACAGTCGCTCCCGCGTGGACGGTCAATTGCACAATTGATTTTAGTCCCCTATCAGGTGCCAGCTGCCGAGGATCGAACTCGGGGCGGAGGCGGCTTTGGATCGACGTTGTCTCACTCGCCGTCTCACAGCGCGTCTTCTCCACTTGTTGCTCTGACAATGTCAGTCCGCCCCTCGAAACCTCAGTTAACACTTCTCTTAAATGATGTTCCTTTTACAGGGCTGGTGGACACTGGAGCTGACGTTACGGTGATTCGTGATCTGGAGTGGCCGGTTAGTTGGCCTACGGTTCCTTCTAAAGAATTGTGGGGGATCGGGGGTAGTAAACCCGGGCGCCACAGTTTGTCTTGGGTCAAAGTCTCTAAACCGGGAGGCCGTACCCTTGCTACTATCCGCCCTTTTGTACTCCCTGTCCACCTCAATATTTGGGGCCGTGATTTACTTACAAAGTTAGACACCACCCTCAATATTAACATCTGATGGCCCCAAACCCTCCCTCACCCACCGTGCCCTCCGCATTACCCTTGGTATGGCAATCCTTAGAGCCCGTATGGATTGACCAGTGGCCCCTCCCTCTAGAAAAGCTAAAAGCGCTTCATTCGCTTGTGCAGCAGCATTTGCAAGCACAGCGACTGGAGAGCTCCACTAGTCCCTGGAACACCCCGGTGTTCGTTATTAAGAAAAAATCGGGTGCTTGGCGGCTGTTACATGATTTAAGGGAAATAAATAAACGCATCCAACCTATGGGCCCCTTGCAATTTGGCTTACCAAATCCAAATTTAATTCCTCAAACCAATCAACTTTGTGTGTTAGATTTAAAAGATTGTTTTTTCACCATCCCCCTTTGCCCTCAAGATCGCGAAAAATTTGCATTTACGGTGCCACAGTATAATAATCAGCAACCCTCTCAAAGGTATCAGTGGAAGGTCTTGCCCCAGGGAATGCAAAATAGTCCAACCTTGTGTCAGCTTTTTGTGGATCGGGCCCTTGCCCCTTTCCGTGCCCGGTACCCTTCGCTAAAGGTCTACCATTACATGGATGACATTTTGCTTAGTGGTCCCCGGGTCACGGCACAACAGCTTGAATCTTTATCTCAGATTCTTGGCCAAAATGGCCTGTTAGTGGCACCAGAAAAAATCCAACGCTCTTATCCCTACCACTACCTCGGATATAAGGTTTTACAAACCTATGCTGCTCCGGTTCGTCCGGAATTAATTCTACCTCAACCCCTAACCCTTGTTAAATTACAACAGATTTTGGGCCATTTAAATTGGATTCGGCCCTACTTTCGTCTCCCCACTTCAATGCTGCAGCCGTTGTTCGAGCTCCTACGTGGAGCCCGGGCACTGGGTGCAGTTATTGTCATCACTGAGGAGTATATTGCCTGCATTCAACAAATCAATGCAGCATTGAGTCAGCAGTTTGTGGACAGACTCCCAGAGGTCCGTCCCTTACGATTGGTTCTTCTTGCCACCCCTCATATGCCAACTGCGGCTCTGTTTGTACCCCGTACAGACACAGCCGTCTCTATTATAGAATGGCTATACCTTTCATCCACCCCTCCTCGAAATATTTATCCGTATTTAGATGCCCTATCTGATCTTGTTCGTAAAGCCCGCCACCGTGCAGTGCAACTCACTGGCACTGATTTAGTTGCCATTGTGCTCCCCTTGTCTCGTACTGAATTTGACTCTTTGTGCCACACCTCCTTGGCCTGGCAGGTTGCTCTTTGTGATTATGTGGGAGAGATTTCTTACAATCCTCCAAAAGATCCTCGGTTGGTCATTACCCAAAAGGTGCCCCTAGTTGTTCATCGTCTTAGCCGCTCTCAACCCATTGTTTCCGCTGTCACTCTTTTTACTGATGGCTCTCCCCACCGAGGTGTAGTCACTTATCAGTTGGGTGACCCCCCTCGTTGGCATTCTCATTTTACACTGCCTCAGCGTTCTGCACAGCGTTCAGAATTGGCTGCTGTTATTTTGGCCTTTCAACTTTTTGCTGATTGTCCCTTTAATTTAATTGTGGACACCCATTATGTTTATCAGGTAATTGATCATTTACCCCTTGCCCTCATTACCCCTCAGGTTGATGCAGACCTCCTTCGCCTGTTTTTGTCTTTGCAGCATCTTCTTGCCATTCGTCATTTCCCTTACTTTGTTGCTCATATTCGCAGTCATACCCCTCTGCCTGGGCCACTCACTGAGGGCAATGCATGCGCCGATCGCGCGTTGCGTGGTCAGGTAAATTCCCTTTTTTCTGACCCCATTGAAAGCCATGCCTTTTTTCATCAGTCTGCCTCTGTTTCACATTCCTGCTGATCATGCACATCCATTGTTTGTTCCTGCCCCCACTGTGCTGCTGCTGCTCCTACCTTTTCTTATGCCGTTAACCCCAGAGGTACCGCAGCAAATCAGCTGTGGCAAATGGATGTTACTCATGTGCCACAATTCCGCCCCTATTCGTTTTTACATGTTTCCGTTGATACTTATTCGGGCTTCCTTTGGGCAAACCCACAACGTGGGGAAGCCACTAACAAAGTTATTCACCATTTGCTGGCCTGCTTTTCTGTTATGGGTCGCCCCTGCCAAATTAAAACAGATAATGCCCCAGCCTACTGCTCTGCAGCCCTCTCCACTTTTTGTGCCCGCTGGGACGTCCGTCTTAAACACGGAATCCCTTATAATTCCACGGGCCAAGCCATTGTTGAACGTGCCAATCGCACACTCAAAACCTTGCTAGATAAACAATTAAAACAAGGGGAGCTGCGTCTCCGAACCTTAGGAGACATTCAACAACAAATGCATATCCTCTTGTTTACTTTAAATAATTTAACACTGAATGCAGATCAGCAGACCCCTGCGGATCGGCATTTTCACAAATCTGAGGTACTGGAAAGACCGCGTGTCTTTTACCGTCAGGTGCCCGATCCACAGTGGCTGGGCCCAGTACCTCTAATCACTTGGGGTCGGGGATATGCTGCTGTGTCTCTCCCTGCAGGACCGTTGTGGGTTCCAGCTCGGTGTGTGCGACCGGCACTTAAACAACATGGCATGGCACCAGGGGCTGTCGAATCCCATACCAGAGTTTCAGCTGACTTTGGAGGAGACTGCTTTGCCCCCCGAGTCAACAACGACGGGACGGAAACGGAGGAGGCGTAGTGTCCCAAACCGGCCCGTGACATGGGGAGCAGTAAAAGCATTGGTCGCCGTGGCCCAACGAAGACTGACAGCAGATCAACAGCCAGAGACTCCTGAGACTTTGTTTGTGGCGATTCTCGCCCAAATCACTGCTAATTCTGTGATGATTGTGTGCCTTTTGTGCCTGCTATTTCCTGTAGGGGTTGGCTCGGAAGCGCTTCCCCCGTTATGAGCCCGAATGGCATATAACATATGGGAAAGATTGGCTTCAATAGCAAATGTTACCCACTTTTGTCTATCTAATTTTGTAGCAGCCGGAGATTTGTTAGGTACATGCCTTATTCCAGTATGTCATCACCCTGAGGAGATGGAGAATAAGACACTGTTCTCTGCTTATGCGAATCTTTCCTCCCAGTACTCTAGCATGGCTAATTGGGGCCCGGCCAACAATACTCTGCCTCGCACGGCTATATCCCTTCACTCACCGTACCCGGCCGGGGCTCACAATGTCATCTGTGTGTGTGTAGTTAACTGCACTAGTACAAAGGTGCCCTTGGGCTGTCGAAAAATTTCTCAACCCCTTTTAAATTGTTCCCATGCTGTTAATGTTTCATATAATTATGGCCATATCATCCTACCATCAGGATGGTTTTTTACTTGCGGTTCACGCACCTTTAATTATATTCCTGCAAATTTAAGTGATGGCACCCTTTGCTGTCTTAGTAGAATGACACTTATATTGCCTTTTGCTAGTCAAAATCGTAGTAAAAGAAGTGTACCCCTTTCAGATGATTGTATTGCAGATGTTGAGCTTTTTAGTCGTGCTGAGTATACTGCCTTAGCGGCCTCTATTGTTGGGGTCCCCGCGCTTGCTATGTATTCAGCCAGAACTTTAAATAACCTGGCATGCTTTGCAGCAAAGGCAATTAATACAACATCCCAGGCTATTGCCTTACTTAACACAGAACAACACGAATTAAGGGACGCAATTTTGGATAACAGAGCAGCCATTGATTTTCTGCTCCTGAAACACCATCTAGGCTGCTCCACGTTTCAGCACATGTGTTGCTTTAATTTAACTGATAATAGTCGCTCCATAGAAACTAGACTGGCTGAATTGGCCAGTCTTACAACACACATACGCCAAGATCTGGGGTTTGAGGGTTTTTGGAATTGGCTTACAGGTTGGCTGCCCTCTCTAGAATGGCTGCGACAGCTTTTTGGTTATTCTGTGTTTGTAATCATTGGGCTTATTTTTTGCTGCTGCTGTGTACAATGTATTCCTTCCTTGTTAAGACTTTGTAAAATTTCGCCCTGGAAAGCTCCCCAGGTTATGTCCTTGTCTGTCTGGGAGTTAAATAGCATGACAAAACAAATTGACGGCTACCATGAGATGGCCAAATATCATTAAATAAAAAGCGGGGGGATGAAGGGTTCATGTTTAGCTATTCCACCTGGAAGCAGGCAGGGCACACCCTGACTGTTTTGTAGAAGCAATGCACACATTGCTCTATCCAAGGACAAGGGCTAGATATGAACCATGAGAACTTGATTGTTGGGACAGCGACTGTGGGAAGCTTTCTTAGCCTGGGCTCAAGGCCTGAGAACCAGGATTGTAGTAGATAAAGGATGGTAAATAAGTATATTAATCAACGTCATACATTCCTTTGTGTATCTTTTTGCGGTAGCAGTGTGTAATGCTTAGGGGGGAGAAATATAATAAAAGGAGAAGGTGGAAGGCGGGGGGGCAGAACAGCCCATCTCAGCTGACCAGCCTGCTTGCTTGCATAAAGCTGTGTTCTGTCTCATCATTGAACCGCCACAGACCAGGTGTCCCGATTTTATAGGTACTGTCCTGATATTAGTGGCTTTGTCTTACCTTGGACCCTATTATCCCCCAGCCCTCACCCCAATTTTTCACACTTGCTGTCTATCCTGAGCTGAGCTGATTGCAGGCTCTGAGCAACTGCTGCTTTCAGGAAACCCAGCTCTGCTTCTTAGGAGAGAGGCATTCAGGGGGCCTCTCCCAGGGTAGCCTCTTACAGTGGAAGCCACAGTGAAACAGCTGTGGAGGAGCCCAGCAAGATTACGGGAAAAGGGGTTAGATTGAATCTGAAAAGCCTGATCAGCCAAATAAAGAACTAGCAGCCATGTTACTGCAACAGCTATAAGCACTCAGCCACCAGGAAATGCAAAGGTTTCAGTTCCCACAGTACACACTTAGGGCCACATTTAAAACTCGGGCTGTTTTAGCCAGATTGTCCCCTCTGCACAAGGAGGGGGAGGGGATAAAAGCTTTGGGGATGTGCAACTGATTGGTTCTCCTGTGCTGTTTTGTCATCCAGAGCCAAGGATGTGTGAGTGCCAGGGTTGGCAGCGGGAACTCACATTGACCTATCTACCCTGCAGAGAGTCAGCTTGAAAGTGCAGACTGACTTGGTGCTTTGCATGCCCCTGTGCTGTGCATCAGGTGTAGCAGGGAAAACTCCAGCTAGGGAATCCCAGGCAGTAGTTACAGTGGAGCTGATCGGACAGACCAATGGCCTCAGAGATAGACAGAAGCTCAGGGCTTTTGCAAGGGCAGCTCTGGCCTCTGGAGGATGGCCTGACGTCTGCAGGTTTAGGAGATCACGCCAAGTACTCATTCCAAGGAGGGCAACAACCCTCAGCCCCATAGGATTCCACAGGGAGAGACTCAGGTGCATCATGGGAGATGTAGTGCAGCCACTGTCAAGGCCATCTTGAAAATTTTGTCTAGGGTCCTCTGTATCCTATCTCTACCCTCCAGTGTATCTACCTCTCCTCCCAGTTTAGTGTCATCTGCAAACTTGCAGAGGGTGCAATCCACACCATCCTCCAGATCATTTATGAAGATATTGAACAAAACCGGCCCGAGGACTGACCCTTGGGGCACTTTACTCGATACTGGCTGCCAACTAGACATGGAGCCATTGAGCACTACCCGTTGAGCCCAACAATCTAGCCAACTTTCTATCCACCTTATAGTCCATTGGACCAGCTTCTGTTGGTGAGAGACATGCTTTAGAGACACAAAGAGCTCTTCTTCATGTCTCTATACCCAACAGAAGTTGGTCCAATAAAAGATATTACCTCGCCCACCTTGTCTTTCTAATATCCTGGGACCAACATGGCTACAACTGCACTGAATGCTGACAGAAGTCATTCTTCGGCTGCTATAGCTACACCACTTCCCCGAATGACAGGCTGACAGAAGCACACTTTTGTTGGCGTAGTTGTGTCTACACCAGGGTTTTGCCAGCATAACTAGGTTGACTGAGGTGTATGAATTTTTCACTTTCCTAGCTGAAATCGCTGTGCCAGCAGACCTTTGTAGTGTAGACTAAGCCCCAGAATGGGCTCCAGCCTCTTAGCCCACAACAGAAATTACCGACTGTGTCAGAGTAAATACAAATCAGTTACCTTGATAAAGCGGATTCTCAGTCGTGCTGCTCCTGGAACTGGCACCTGCAGAGATGGTGCAAAAGCAGAAAACAGCTGGCATGAGAACAAATGGGGATAAAGGGGCCAGGAACAAATTCAGGCTGGAAATGTGAAGAAGGTTTCTAACCATCAGAGGAGGGAGCCTCCCAATGAGAAGAGTGGGGGGCAAACACGGTCACTAGTTCAAATACAGAGCTTGGTAAATTTATGAAGAGGATGATAAGATGGGGTTACCTGCAATAGCAGGAGCTAGATTTGCTGTGGAAGGAGGCCCCTTCTAGTCCTGTGCCCCATGTTCCTATGAGTGACCCTCCTTGGAAATGCTGAGCCAGCCCCTTAATCCTCTCCTTATCTTAATAGGGGTGTTTCCAGATGAGGCAGAAGAACTGAAGAAATGTTTTGTAGCCTCAGGCCTTATTAACTTTATGCTGGATTTCCCACAGTGCTCAGGGCAACAGGGGAACTGCCTCCTCAGTTTAGGAGAGTCTGGGTTGCCGGAATGGGCTAGATTTTCAAAACAGCACAGCTCCCGTTTAGACACGGTAATAAGTAGCCTGTTTACCAAAAGACTGAAGGTTATTGGGAGCACACTGGGTGCTCGCTTGTCCCCATGTGACCAAAGTATGTCCCTAAACATCCACATTTACAACATGTTAGAGCTGCTCTAATGTTTTCCCCTGAAAATGTTTTTCTTCACAAAAAATGCCTTTGTGACCAAAGTGAACATTTTGAAAGTGAATTATTTTCTTGTTTTCCAATGAAAATTTCATCATGTTTGAGTTTTGGTAGAAACTGTCATTATTTGGTAAAAAAAAAAAGATAACTGAAACCAAAAAACATTACCAACAAAATCTTTGATTTCTGTTTTTTCATCAAAAAACTGGAAAAGTTTCACAGGGAATTTTGAAAGAACTGAAAAGTATTCATAACTATCTGTAAAAAAATAGTTCACAGTAATTTTAATTTCTGATAACAAACAAGTGCAATGTTTTATCCTTTAAGTAATTAGCACTGTCACCAGCAGGAGTGAGTTTGTGTGTGGGGGGGCGGAGGGTGAGAAAACCTGGATTTGTGCTGGAAATGGCCCAACTTGATTATCATACACATTGTAAGGAGAGTGATCACTTTAGATAAGCTATTACCAGCAGGAGAGTGGGATGAGAGGAGGTATTGTTTCATGGTCTCTGTGTATATAATGTCTTTTGCAGTTTCCACAGTATGCATCCGATGAAGTGAGCTGTAGCTCACGAAAGCTTATGCTCAAATAAATTGGTTAGTCTCTAAGGTGCCACAAGTACTCCTTTTCTTTTTGCGAATACAGACTAACACGGCTGTTACTCTGAAAACTGTCTTACCTGAGACCTTCAGATACCGAGTGACGCTTAACAGAGAATTTAACACCTGGTTATTGTCATTTCTGGACATGTATCCACAGGAAATATTGCCTGAGCTTCCAGCCATGCTGTAAGCTAAATCATAAGAGAATTTTCCTCTCCTGGCTTGCAGCCTTGAAATTTCCATCCTATCCTTACAAAAGAAAACAATAGAGACAGGGGCTCCTGCAGGGATTAAACATCTGCCACTGACAGTGTCCCCCTCATTAGCAGAGATTGTCCCCAAGAACATCTCAGCAGCAGGAAGTGTGCCTGGAAAAATAAAAACTCAGTGACTCATCGTCCTTAAATAGTTGATTTTCACATAATCAAGGGTCCATTGACATGAGTGAGTGCAGGATCACACTCTGCTAGAATTACTGGACCAATTGTCAAAGAGAAAATCTTTAGACTGAGATTTTAAAAGTAGCCTAAAGGACTTAGGTGCTCAAATTGCCTTCAAACGGTTTGGAAATTGGGGGCCTAACCCCCCCCCCCAGGTCTCTTTAATGGGGTTTCCTTTGATAGCAGGTGTCAAGGTTCCTCCCCCACTCTGAACTCTAGGGTACAGATATGGGGACCTGCATGAAAAACCTCCTAAGCTTATCTTTACCAGCTTAGGTCAAAACTTCCCCAAGGTACAAAATATTCCACCCGTTGTCCTTGGACTGGCCGCTACCACCACCAAACTAATACTGGTTACTGGGGAAGAGCTGTTTGGACGCGTCCTTCCCCCCAAAATACTTCCCAAAACCTTGCACCCCACTTCCTGGACAAGGTTTGGTAAAAAACCTCACCAATTTGCCTAGATGACCACAGACCCAGACCCTTGTATTTTAAGAACAATGAACAATCCTCCCAACACTTGCACCCCTCCTTTCCTGGGAAATGTTGGATAAAAAGCCTCACCAATTTGCATAGGTGACCACAGACCCAAACCCTTGGATCTAAGAACAATGAAAAAACATTCAGTTTCTTACAAGAAGACTTTTAATAAAAATAGAAGTAAATAGAAATGAAGAAATCCCCCCTGTAAAATCAGGATGGTAGATATCTTACAGGGTAATTAGATTCAAAAACATAGAGAACCCCTCTAGGCAAAACCTTAAGTTACAAAAAAGATACACAGACAGAAATAGTTATTCTATTCAGCACAATTCTTTTCTCAGCCATTTAAAGAAATCATAATCTAACACATACCTAGCTAGATTACTTACTAAAAGTTCTAAGACTCCATTCCTGGTCTATCCCCGACAAAGACCAGCATATAGACAGACACACAGACCCTTTGTTTCTCTCCCTCCTCCCAGCTTTTGAAAGTATCTTGTCTCCTCATTGGTCATTTTGGTCAGGTGCCAGCGAGGTTACCTTTAGCTTCTTAACCCTTTACAGGTGAGAGGAGCTTTCCCCTGGCCAGGAAGGATTTCAAAGGGGTTTACCCTTCCCTTTATATTTATGACACGCCCCCCAAATCTCAGCTAGGGTGAAACACTGGCTGGGATTTCTTCCTGGAGCTCTAGGAAAAACAGAGTTAATAAGACACATGCACCTCTAAATATACTACCAAGTTTATAAAGACTAACAGTATTTTCCACATCTCAAGGACGATTTTAACCAGTTGATTCTGGGAAACTTTCACGGGAGAGTGCATCAGCCACTTTGTTAGAAGCTCCTGAGATGTGTTGGATGTCGAAATCAAAATCTTGGAGAGCTAAACTCCACCGAAGAAGTTTTTTGTTAGTTTCCTTGACGGTGTGAAGCCACTTCAGTGCAGCATGGTCGGTTTGCAGGTGGAAACGCCGTCCCCAAACATATGGGCGTAGCTTTTCCAGAGCGTAGACAATGGCGTAACATTCTTTTTCAGTGACTGACCAGTTGCTTTCCCTCTC